GGACCTGCGTTAGAACTTATGGCAGTGCAATGAACTAGATCAGTGAATAGATCCAGTTAATAAGCCACATTTTGTCCAGTCGGTGCCTCCCTACCTCAGTACCCTAATCCAGTTCATGCAGCTACAGGAATACCGGTTCTGGGATAAAGGAGGTGTTAGAGGCGAGGGACTGGAGGTAGGATAGGAGAGGAGTACAACTGTACCCTAAATCTAAAGGGACTCCAAAGGAATTAGTAGTTTTCTCAGGCTGCAAGCACTTGAATAATGTAGCAGTACATGATATCCTGATATGATAGTAGTGTTGTGATTTTAACTATCCAAAAAATCAAAAGTTGGGACAGTTATTTGCACCTACTCAGTCTGAAGAAGCTTAAAAGCATGTGTCCAGCATAGGGGGATGCAAACGCAGAAGGCAGTGGAAATCCAACAAGGGAACTTCACATTTAGCAGTATTTCCTTGTAGGAGGGTCAAATGGATGATCATTACCTTTAACTTGGTGGGAACAATGCAAGCTTGTCTTCTTTAGCCTATATATATTAACCACAAATGATATGCCACCATTTAATTATAGGGATTTAGAGGGCATGTTCCAGGCATCTAAATTATGCCTAGAAAAAGTGTTTTATATAGCTGTTTCAAAAATGTATTTTCATTTCTGTCCTGGTTTGGCTGGTTATCTTACGAGTTCTGCCTATGAATAAGATCATGGAACCTGTTATGCCCCTTGTAACAAGCAGTGGGTCTGTTTAATGAAAATTCTGGGAAAGCCATGTAAACATCAGTGACAGTATCAGATGATACTTTTATGTTAAGTGCAGTCTCTCTGAATTGTACATTGCTTGTCATTAATCTCAAAAAAATGATTATTATTCCTTCAAAGGTAATTGAGGTAGAAAGACTATTCCATTTTAAATCAAAATGAACATTGATCAAGAAAGAGCAAGAGAGAAATGTAAGGAACAATGTCTTTTCTTTGAATCCTATAACATGGTTTGTTTTAATTCTTTTTACCAGGCTTATCAACATAAGCTAAAGCTAGCCCTCATAGGTCAAAGTATTTTCGGACAAGAAGTTTATAACAAGCTGAGAAAAGAAGGACATAAAGTTGTGGGAGTATTCACAGTGCCTGACAAGAATGGACAAGCTGATCCTTTGGGTAAGTGTAACCTTAATCCAAATGTTAAAATTACAGGCATACATGACAAACTTGCCTTTTCGTGAGAAGGTGGTATCTATATGGGAATGACTTGCATGTATTGCCTTTATTACACCAGATTCAACACAAGAACTACACTTTAACAAACACAAGTCCCAGAACCGGTTTAACCTTCTCACTTAGTCAGTATTTAAAAGTTGTTTCTAACCATACAGGGCCATACATTAAGATATTTGAAAAATAAATTAACCCGGGTACCTATTTGAATGTACATCCTAGAGGTAATCATCCTGAACTAGATCAGTATCTTAAAGCAAATAGCTGCTGAGTCTGTACTCAAGTACAAATGTCTGTCACCTGTTTCACTGTGCTGTCTGGGACACCCAAGGCATGGAGCCAAGACTGTTTATCCCTGGCTTTCTGCCCTTTCAGACAAGCTTGCATGCGGCAGTGTGCCTGCAGAGCCTATTTCTCTTCCACCTGGACTATGAAAAATCCATTGAAAAGGTTAGAGGAGGCTTTGCTCTCCCTTTTTCTACTGTCAAGATGCATAAGGATTTTCTAGAATTTCTAAGGAAAGAGTTGTTGCTTGACAGGTATTCAGAATTGTACTCATAGAACAGAACCCAGTGTGACAAAGAAGCCTCTCTGGTATCATCTAAATTGTAACTTCTCTTGTTTTTTTCCAGTGGCACAAAAATAGTGAGTTAAGATGATTAGCAAATAGAAGTGCCAGAATGGAATGTACCTTTGTGGATAACCTGAAATTAAAACTACATTCCATGAACTGTCTCAGGTCTCTTTTATTGTTTTTTAGTCGGTTGGTTTGTTTGTTTGTTTGCTTTTTGTCGGGTCCTGACATGTTTTTACAGAATTCTTATGAGGGAAGAATCAAACATAAATTTTGCTTACCTGGGCTATGGTGCTCCCAAACTAGCATATAGTTCTCAAGTTTATTACATTCTGTAACTCTACCTCATTAAAATATTTAATCACACTTTGGAAGAATTAGGGGAGGCAACTATTAGTTTAGAAAAAGACAATTCAACTATCCAGCCCTGGAAGCATACGCTAACACTTGGTTACATTATATAAACTATTATTGTACAGTTATTAGACTAGCAGCTGTAACTAAGTAAATCTTCCACTGATTTCAATAGTATATTTATTTTAACTAAAAGAAATTACTAGATACTTTGTTGCTTTTACTTCTAGATCACTCAAAGAGCTTAAGTCTCAAGTGACATTTGCTAATGTTTCTGTATTCTCAGACAGCTACAATTTTTGCCTCTAAAAGCAGTTACAGTACACACTAACTTCCATGGAATGATATTTAAGTATTTACTTAAGACCTAAGTTAATAGGCTAAAGATGCTTCAGGTTAAACTCAACATACAATTTCAGAAGTGAAAAAGAGAAAGGAAAGTACAAAAATGTATTTAGAAATATAAATTAAATTAGGTGACTTTTCCATACCTCTTCTTGTTTTCCCTTTTCTTCCTATTACATATACAACTCAACAGATGTAGATTTTGACTCTACTATCCTACTTTCTGTGATAAGTTATTAGGTGGTTGTGGAATGGAATTTATCAAACACCTAAAATTCTCTCTGCAATTTGTGCAGTTGTTTTTTCTCACCTTTGAGCCTAATTTGGGTGTGGCTGTGTGTCTTACAGATAAAGCATATCCAAAAGGCATCAGTGAACAGAATTTTGAAGAAATTACTGAAGGCTACTAGCATTTCTAATTATTTGCAACACATGACAAAATACCGCTGACACAAGTGAATCTTAGTTGTACGTAGTCATATTCACATACAAATTGCTGAAGTGGAAAAATAAGTTCAGCTAAACCAAACCAGTTGCAGGCAAAAGTAATGACCAGAGAAGAAATGAAGTGTCACTGTTAAATAGTCAATAACATGCACCATTCTTTTCTGCTTTCATTGATACTTATTAGCCAAGTCATAAGAGTGAACTTAAATTTGAGAATGACATAAGCTGCAGGAATGAGAATCAAAGATAGAATTAATAAAACATATCCAAGCACAAAGGTTTTTAAACAGCATACAGAACAGTACAAAAGGCTATAATCATACGCTTGATGATCTGCTTGAATTGTCATGCAATACCTCTCTGATTTCAGTTTGAATTTTTAACACAAAATGTGAATTAAAAAAAATACTGTTCTTGCCCCTCAGCACTGGCAGCGGAGAAGGACGGCACTCCTGTTTTTAAGTTCCCCAGATGGAGAGCTAAGGGCAAGCCTATTCAGGAAGTAGTTGCAGCCTACAAATCCGTTGGAGCAGAGCTAAATGTCCTTCCGTTCTGTACACAGTTCATCCCCATGGATGTTATTGACTGCCCGAAACATGGCTCAATTATTTACCATCCATCCATCCTACCACGCCACCGAGGAGCTTCTGCAATCAACTGGTGAGTTTTGTGCATCAAAACTACATGTATGTCACGTTAGGGTGTTTGTCTGTACCCATTAATCATGTAAATGCTGGCACAGTTCTGTTGACTTGCAACTGCTCTGAAGGAACTTGTCTAAAGCAGCTCAGTATTTGGTTCATGAACTGCACTTCATAGCTAAGATTCATTATGATTTCCAATGCAAGTGCAGCTGTTATTCTGGGAAGATCAGTGATGTGATCTATACATTCATATATTTTACTTACATAGGCGAATTGACAATCTGGAGTTTTCATAGGCAGGACACTGCCCTTGTAGTTCATCCCCCACAAACGCTAGATAACTGTCACAATAGGGCTTGATGCAGAGCCTAAGATTTCACAGAAGAGAAGGGAGGAGAAAAGAACCACAAGAATAAAACATTTACTTGCTGTCCTCCTGAGCAATGCACAAGGCTAGATTCAAAATGTTACAGTGAAGTTCTTGCTGACTGGAAAAGGGGAAACATAACCCCCATTTTTAAAAAGGGGAAAAAAGGAAGACCCAGGGAACTGCAGGCCAGTCTCAATTCGGTGCCCAGCAAGATCATGGAGCAGATACTCCTGGAAACTATGCTGAGGCACATGGAAACTAAAGAGGTGATTGGTGACAGGCAACATGGCTTCACTAAGGGCAAATTGTGCCTGACAAATTTGGTGGCCTTCTACAACTGCGTTACAGTGTTAGTGGATAAGGGAAGAGAAACTGACATCTACCTAGAATTGTGCAAAGCATTTG